GCTTTCCCTGACAAAGGGGAACTTAACACATGGACCGGAACTTTAAGGGTATTAATAAAATAAGTGACCAAAAACATATTGGTAGGCAGTGCCAATTATTGGAAAGAGCACAGTCCTAAGTGTGAGATTATCCTTAGTTAGCAAAGTGGATAAGTCGCTTACCTTCTCTGCACCTTGGCTCAGTTCTCATCCATAAAAGGAATCAATAGGGCAGTGTAGGTCACCTTGAGTCCATGGGCTGGTAGAGGGGCCCTGGGACCACTCTGAATTTTCTGGTCTATCATCTTCACCTTGGCAGTCTTTCTGGCCCCATCCACCCTGTTAAAAGTGAGTGTCCCAGGGGTTGTTAAGTCAAACAAAAAACGTGTTTTCATTGCCTTTGGTCAATTACCAGCTTCTTGAAAACGTGCATCGGAACCCCTTTCTTTGTCCATCTGCAACAGCAAGGCTTCAATTCTTCCCTCATGGTGACCGCTGCCCACGTCTCTTTTCTTACTTGTCTTCTGCCAGCTTGCCCTGACCATGTCATGAGCTCTGGCCTGGGACTGCACTGCCCTCTCTCTATTATTTCCTAAGGGAAGCGCCTCACCCACAGGTGATTTCACCTCACCCACAGGTGCTTTCTATGGGCAAGAGGCTACCTGGTTGTTGTAACAAGACAAGAAGGCATTTTCCAAACTGTATCGAAGCAAATGAGGTGTCTTGGAGTGGAAACCCAAAGCCCATTTGTAACAATTGGATATCCCCCCCCACAGAATGGTTATAAGGAAGGGATGATTCAACCAAGGTGCAGTATAGCAGCACCGACGAATCACACATCATTCCTCTAGTTCCTGAATGCTTCCTCCCACCCACTACCATGACCCAGTTCTACCTTACAAATCTGGCTAGACCAGAGGACACACACTGGTACAGATAATAACTCTTACACATGGAATTCAGGAAAGATAAACACCCCAGGAACAGTTGTGGGAGTAGTGATATCATGAGAGGAGGGGGATGGTTGGGGGAAGGAGAGAAAGGGGAAACCTTTCACAAGATTAGATATGTAGCTCCCCTTCCCCCGAAGGGGACGGATAGCAGAAATGTGGGTGAAGGGAGACCATGGGCAGTGTAAGATAGGAAATAATAATAACAATATGCAATCAGTCAAGGATTCATGGGGATGGGAGGGTGGAGGAGGGAGGGAGGGGACAAAAGAGGAGCCAATACCAAGGGCTCAGGTAGAAAATGTTTTGGAAATGATGATGGCAACTTTATGTACAAATATGCTTGATACAATTGATGTATGGAATGTTCTAAGAACTGTAAGAGTCCCCCCCAAAATGACTTAAAAACAAAAAAGATGGTTGCTGTGCTTATAGCTTTGCACTGACTAGTTGAAGAACCTTTGTGGAGAAACAAAACAAAACAACAACAACGAAGCCTCTGGGCTTCTTCATCATGGCAAGTTCAGACAGGCCACCTGTGCCTTTCCCCAATCGCCTCCTCCCACACGGACACCGCCAGGACTCTAGCCTCGGCACCAGCGCCGGCGCCGACGCCTACGCGGCACTCTCTCATGTCTGGGGTTTTCAGTTGCTCTCTTCCAGTTGGTGATGAATTCAAGCCAGATTCTCGAAAGTGCCGGTTAGTGTAGCTTTCCCTCCGTGTCCTCACTGCTCAACTCTCTCTTCTGTACTTCCGACGGCTCCGTACCATATCCATCCTCCGTCACCGTACACCTACCTGCTCATGAACCGGCAGCGGTCAGTGCATGAATCTGACGCCAGCTCTGATTCCCACGGGACTCCGTGAGCTAGCTGCCTCTGTTCAGTCAGAGAAGTGCCCTCCTCTGAGTCCCACCACGGGTTAAGCTCATGTTTCTGAAACTTCTCTCTCTTCTGGAAGCCTGGGGTGTCCTCTCTTCCTCCTCTCGGAGGGTCCACATCCCCCCAATGTTAGGTGCCCCATCTCACATTCTCCCTGTGCCCGGCAGCCCACATGGCCTCCCGGCTCACTGGATTCTAACTGAGCTGGTCCTTTCTAGCGCTTCGCTGTGAGCGCCGGAGCACACAGCAGTTGGGGCTCCTTTTAGAATGAGCTAGTGTGCGCAGTGACTGATTGGGCTACTGAAATCTCTTATCCTCACCCTGAATCTAAATGCTTCTCAAAATGCGTCAGACCTTCCACTGCCTTTGCAGAAGGGCCAGGGGACAGTTTCCAAGATCAGCCTGGGAGAGGGAGACCTGGGAGTAGAGGCTTGTCAGTGATTCGTTTGCTGTCTCCTTAGAGAATGAATGAAGTTGGACTGGCTACTGAAGAAATGCTGCATGCTCTAGGCAAAGGTGCGAAGTAGGCGAAGGAAACTTCCTTCCATCCCTTGGAAATCCTCCTTTCCTTCTCCAACCCCATCCCCTTCCTCCCACCACCTGCAGCGTTTTCCTGGTGATCTAAGAGGCCCACCTTGGCTACGCCTGGGCCCCCGATGTTCCCCCTGGAAGCCCTTGTGCTGGGTTCTCTGCATTCCCCACCCTCCAAGGTGCCTTTTGCAGGGTTGGTGCACCGTCCTCGACATGCCCTGAGCTAATGCATCACTTACCCATTCCAGACAGTTTTACTACTTAAAACCTGAAAAAGCTGGGCTCAAGCCAAGTCACTCTGCACTCTCTTCCAGCTCTAAAATACCACACCCTGAGCAGCACAGCCCCAAGATCACTCAGGGTTTTCGTACTCATTCTTTGAAGCTCTGTGACGTGAGATTATAAGATGCTAGACGTGCAGCGACACACATCACTCTGGGCTTCTTGATCATCTGAGCTGCTGTCACGTTCTGGCACAGCTGAGCCCACGGCCAACGTGCCGAGCAGGTCTGCACACCTTACAGCTGACAGAGCCCTGAAGCCGAGGGAAGGTGAGCTTCTGGCTCGGTAATCACACACAGGAGGAGGATAGCGTGCCCCTCTTCCAAACATGGGCGCTCTAAGCTGGGTACCCTCGCAGGCCTCACCCTATCTCCAAGGACAAATCCTAGAAGCTCCTCTAATCAAAAAGAGGAACAAGAGTTAGTGTCGATATGGGGAGCCTCAATGTCAACAGCAGAAGAAAAGAATGCTAACCAAGTATAAATACCAGGAGAAGTACCAATACCTGGAAATATAATATATGTGTATATACATATACTTATTGAAGTGACTTTGACTCCAGAAGGTCCATAAAGCGCTATGTGAATAGGGGTTTTTTTTTGGGGGGAGGGGGGTTAGTGATGGAGGTGGGGGTTAAAGGGGAGATGGTGTCAAGGAGTAGAAAAGGAATGTTTGGAAACTGATTGTAGTAGGAATTGTACAATTCTGCTTGACATGACTAAACTATGGAAGGATATGATATATTATATAAAAAGAAAATAATTTCAATACCATTAACCATTAAATAAATGTAAATTGAAACTTTAAAAAAATCAATTTCAGTTAAAATGTGCCAAGAGCCAATGTGCCACCTGTCAGCAAAGACCCAGTCCCTCTATCAAGCAATAATCGCTACCAAGTTCAAACCATGTTCGGTACCAGTTAAAACAACTCTGACAGCCTTTCAGCTGGTCTTAACCATATATGGTGCAGCAGATGCGCTTGGAAGTTTGGTATTTGGAGAGACATTATAATCCGCATATCTGGGGGGGTTGATATCCCTAGAAGGTACCTGCTTGACCTGCACAGTACTGACCTCACAGTGTTTACAAGGGATTTTAACTATAATCAGTATCAGTTTCAAATGAGGTGGCCTAAGACAAGGGTCACAATGCTTTGTATTATCTGCTACCACTTGTGCTGAAAAGAAAGAAAATGCACAGAACTGGCTTCTCGATGTGCTTAGAATACCCGGAAAGAGCAACCGAGGCGATGCTCAGTCTCGGCAGGCACGGGGATCACCTTGCAGAAGGGATCCGGGCTTTCTTTTTGGCTCCTTTAAGCCAGCCAAGCACTGGGAGCGAATGAGTGAAGCCTGGTGGACAGCATGCGGTGGGCTGCGGCATGAAAGGGCCAAGGCACGAGGAAGGTTGAGAACCACTGCTGTAGAGGAAAGGCTAGAACCGCCCCTGTAAGTTTTAGAGACCATAACTGTTTATGGGAGTAGAAAGCCCCATCTTTCTCCCACAGTGTGGCTGGTGATGTCAAACCGCCCACCTTTCAGATCACAGCCCAACTAGTAACCACTACACCACCAGGGCTCCCTGTGGTCACTGTGAGTTGGGTAAATCTGCTGCACAAGACCTTGTTCAAAGTGCTGAACAGGGAGATGGCCCTTTGAAAACTAAGCTACACCTAGCCCCAGCCCTTTCAATCACTTCAGGCACGTGGAAGTTGACACCAACTAAGGACGACCAAAGAAGAATCCATACATTTGAAGTATGGTGCTGGGCAAGAATATTAAAAGGACCGTGGACGGCCAAAAGAATAAAAACAAAACTATCTTTGAAGAAGTACGATCAGAATGCTCCTTGGCAGCAAGGATGCCGAGACTCTGGTTCCCATCTCCTGAACATGCCAGCAGGAGACCAGTCCCTGAAGGAGGACAGCGTGCTTGGGGAAGTGGAGGCGCAGTGGAAAGAGAAGCCCCCGCATCGAGATGGACCCATACAGTGGCTGCGACAATGGCTCAAGCAGAACGAAGCTTGTTTGGATGGCCCTGGACCAGGATGTCCAACTCTCTGGTATGAGTCGAAACAGACGGGCCAGCACCTGACAACAATCACAAAGATGAGCCGGAACTGGTTTGGGTCTGTTGGAGGGGAGGACTTGGCGTTGGAGACCCAGAGAGGCAGGGAGAACAGGTGTCTTTTGGTGCTTTCGATTGTTGAACCATGTAAGTGTCTTCCCTACTTTAAAATCCACCTGAAAATAAAGTGAGTGAATCGGAAAGGAGAACCCAGATGCAGGCCTTTTCTTGAGAAACCACGAAGTCAGTTTCAAAGACCCCAGGGGCTGCGTTACAGCTGATGCCAAAAGCGGAGGGGCGGGCAGTACCCGTTTCTATCCGGTAGTCCCCGAGGGTGTTGCAGTCGTACATCTCCTGGCCCTGAGGCGTCCGTAGGCAGTAGACACCCACCGGGAAGCCACACCTCAGGGACACCAGTGTCCTCAGCTCAGACACTTTGTTGTCCAGAAGAGAAATGCTGTCCACGATCGGCAGCAACTCCTGTGTTACGGCATTGAGCACGTAGAGCGTCGGCTGGTCTTCTTCCTGAGGGAGAAACAAGCAGGGAACTCACAAACGCTACGTTGGAGGCTCCAGAGAATGGCTGTGGGGCGTACAGTACATACCCATTAGCTGCTAACCATCAGGTCAGCAGTTCAAAACCACCGGATGCACCTTGGGAGAAAGACGAAGCTTTCTACTGGCTTTCTACTCCCCAAAAGAGCTACAGTCTTGGAACCCACAGGGCAGTCTCCCTTGCCCTGCAGGGTCCTGAGGAGTCAGCACTGACTCAATGGCAGTGAGTTAGGGTTTTGCTTTTTGAGCTCACACGGCACCAGGGGTAAGGGCTTTTGCTTTCTGTTGGGACGGGAAGCAGAGGAAAGCGGACTCAGAGCGTGGGGTCAGTGGACAGGTTTCATGAGCGCGAACAACCTGCCCAGTGTTTGGACTGGAGTGAGAGTGAAGGGGGCGGGAGGGGAGATTGGAAGACAGAGTGAAGAGAGAATAGCCGCCAGGAAGGAAGGGAGAGACAGAGAGAGGAGGAGACCGAGGGATGGGCGGACATAGGGCTACAGAAGACGGTGAAGAAAGTCAGAGAGAGCGCGGACAGAGGAATCCCGCGTCAATAAACGTTTGGGACGGAATAAACCATCATGCCTAAAAGGAGCCGCGCTTCCCCCATTGGCTGTGGCACCAGCAGAACCGTGCACAGAGGGGTGGGCGTCTGTGAGGCGTCTTGAGAAGACAGGTGTCACACTGTGCTCGGTGCGGATGGAAGGGGTTAGAGAAGCTGGTCATGGCTGAGAACCGCAGTGTTCCTGCTGGACGCGCTGCTTTCCTGAACGGTCCCTGACTGCGGAGTCCTCTTCTTCCGTCCCGAGGCTGCTGCAGACCCTCCCTTCGTTGAGTAAAGCGTAGAAGACCTGGCAGGGCCGCCAGACCCTCCTTACGCCTCAGCCTACAGACTCAGACACAGGAGCGCGTGGTCGGTACGTTGCATCCACGCGGAGTGACAGACGCCCCAGGTGACCATGGCCCCAGTGTGCCCTGAGTTTGGTCGGCAGTGCTGTGGCTTTTGAACCAGTGGGCCCTTTTGGAGAATCCCGTCTGAGCGCTCATCCCCGCGGCGCAGGGCTCAGCTCTGGTGACCAAGGCCTTGACTCCTCGGTTGGTCCTTTCGTTGTGCTGAGGTTTGACTTCTCAGTTTACAAGCAGGAGGCTCCACTTGGACGGTTGAAATTCCACGTGGGAGGGGCACGCGCTTTGTTCCTTGTCTTGGCAAGCTAAACAGGAAAGCCAGCAAGCGGGGCGGGGACAGCATTACCCTTTCTGTGAACAGTGGATGAGACCAAACCAGCAGTGAGCACACGGACATGGGTCTCAGGGAGGGGAGAGGAGAGGAGGGGGAGGACAACCTCAGCATTTTCTCCTTTCTGAGAAAATGAAACTGGGTTTCACTTCCTCTTTAGAGGATTCGGGGCAAGGCTAGGTTCGTCCTCAGCGCCCAGCCAGTTGGGCCTGGCAGCTGGAAAGGGGGCCCTGCTGTCTGTCGGCGTCAGAGAGTGATGCCCCTAAACCACAGCCTGGAAGGCAGCCCCCAGAGCTCCTTGCAAGTGGGCCAGGCATGAGGAGTTTGCTGGTTTGAACGTCCTACCTCAGGGATGGTGGACATGGAAGCCTAGCCTGTGTGTG